ACCGAGCCTATCCAGTTTAACGATCGCTATAGAATGGTTCAACTTGTCGAAGGCGGCTGATTGGTCAGTGTATGTGTTTGCATATGGTCCGTCATACTCTCCGTAATGTACGAGGTGAGACACAGAAGGCTGGAAGTAGTCGATCGCCCTGCCATGAAACCATGCTAGTCTTCGCTCAAGTGCTGCTTGAAGTGAGAGACTAATGGTTCCATAACGACCAACTCGAACAGTTTAGATATGGCACACAACGATGTGATGCCGCGATAGTTGTTGATGTTTCTTTTTCATCCCTTCTTATGCACTGGAAACATCTCAACTGATTTCCAGCATTAAGGAAACACCCCACTGGAGAGAGGAACCACCAGGCTATCGATGTGTTGCTTGAGAAAGACGGAAGGAACTTCGTCAGGTCCAGGCTTAAATGAAGACTTCAGTTACGAAGTTTTCATAGCGAGTTCGATGTTGATAGCTGCCAAAGATTGACCAGACATTGGAACATTACTGGCTGCTAGAGAAACGTGCTCGTCAGGTCCCTCCCCATGGACATGGAGGTTGACGGTACTGAAGCAAAGGGTTATGTTTAATTTCTTTATATTTGCAACGATGATGATTTCCTATAGTGACACATATCACCTTCTTAATTCTTCAGTATGCCTCAAACGATTAATTCTTGGTTGTTAATAGAACTTCCTTGATGAAATCGGCTGCTTCATGCAGACTGAGCAATTCTGATTATAGTATCAGATTTGTTCTGTATACAGAGGAACTGGGAGGGCTTATTAAAAACTTCTCACCAATAAAGTGATGATCTTCTTGTAAATTTTGCATATAATTTTATTAATATTTTATTTTATTTAAGCATATTATTTTTGTTACAGTCAATTTGCATTAGCATATGATACAAGAGATTTAATATTACTTGCTCGTTTTTGCGGAAAATAATCAATATTTACTTTACTTGTAGTTACCTTTGAAAGTTTTCTTCGAGTTTTTTTTGTGATCTGAAAATTTACCCAGTTTGGTTAGAAGTTTCGAAGCTAACGCATGTCCACAGGCATAATAGAAAGATAGACAGAAAAAGTGTATCATGAAGAATGGTTGCATGCAGGGTTGCTTCCACTCACTTGCTATAGATGAGTGATTTTCGGAGTTTTGAATTCGTTAGATGTTGTAGTGGAGATTTGTGCTGTTGGATGCGAAAGGAGATTGGAGGGCGGGTGTTTGACGCATAGAGCCTGTCAATTTCGCTTTCAGAGTGTCGCAGTCAGCGGTTTTATGATTCGTGAGCGCCCGCGATTCGTAGAATCGTTGATTGTGACTGCAAGTGGATTTGACGGGTTTTGTGTTTCGGACGCTTGTTTTTGGCCTCTTCTTGTGTCTAACATGTGCAGAGTATCATTATAACGTCTAATGGTTTTGAGATTCCTGGTGGCGTGAAATATATTTGTGAGAATATCTTTTTGAGATTTTAACAGTCACGTTTTGTTTGTAGTTTATATTTTATTTATTCATGTAATTATCGTAAATAATAGTTATTCAATAATAGATAGTTCATCCATATATTTGTACTTTGACGCGAAGCGCTGTGGATTATGAGATGCTCGATGACCCTGGAGGGATCGATTTTGCTTACTGAGCAGAAAATCATAGATTTAACCCCAAGCTCTTCCACAGCACAATAAATCGCCAGCATCATTTGTATATTTGATATTGAATATTAACCTCGGAAACTATTTGCATATCAAGCGAAAACGTAGCCCTGTATTGTCGCGAAGCGTTATGGTTCTGAGATGCTCGATGACCCTGGAGGGATCGTGTTTGCTTACTGACCAAGCTCTCCGTCATGACTCTTAAAATTCATGATCACTAAACAAAATAAATATGTTCTTTCGATAGCCGGCTATCGAGAGATTAAATAAACAACAAATAAACAATACATACTTTTGGTTGCATCGCCAACTTGAGGTGAATCCTAACCGAATACCCTACCCAACCCTCCAACTCCGTAGCACTTATGAGGGTGTCGCTAAGTCGGTGGCCTCTCGTTAAGTAAGTACTACATCAACATTTCCTTCCCTATCCCTAGTTATGGTAAAGATGGGCGTGGCTAGGAATAGCGACAGTCATGCTTCTGTTACTCTTGTTTAGATTGGAACCAATGTTTACTCCTCAGCATTATTCCTGAAAGTAGTCTAACTGAGAATTTCAGAAGAGACGTGAGTGTCGCTAGTATCCAATCTACGAAGTATATCATAACAACGCTAACGCTAGAGAAACGTGCTCGTCAGGTAGGTTCTCATCCGAGAATACACTCGCAAACTTGGCTGAGAACAGATGGCAAATGTCCTGAGGGGATGAAGCTTCTTTCGCCGTTCAGTAGCATAGTCGATGGAAGGCCAGACTCCTTTCGTTGCTCATTCACATAATTCCAAAAAGTTTTCGGGTGAGATCGAAGCTTCCGTTGAACATCTCGTTGATAACGCCGATAACATTGGCGACTGGTTCGTTGATACGCATGATTGATCCTCGCATAATGGTCCTTGAGTTGTAGGGTGTGGTACTTGGTGTAATTTCTTAGCGCGGCTCTTTTGGAAGACTTTAACATACGGAGTTCACTTGTTTGCCAAGGATTGTTTAGGATTGTCGCTCAATCTCAATCTCAATCATCATATGCTTTAACGAATATCTCCAGTTTAAAATAAAAATCTTCTACCGCACCGAACTGTAGGATCGCCGAACACAGAAAACACTTAGGCTGTGAACCATTTGCCGAGTTAAATTCAACTCGTGGTTAAAAGTGACATTTCGAAAGTTATTTCTTATGTTCGAAAATCCCCGTGCTGTCGATCGACCGGTTTTCGAGCCACAGTTGTCAAAATTTAACTTCTTGTCTGTCAGAAGTAACCACGCTCGGATAGCAGGGTTAATCGATAACTTTCCATCTGTCAAATTTTAACCAAAAGTTAAAATAATTCGTCAAATGGTTCAGAGCCTTAATGGCTGCTATTGAATATATACAGATTATAGCAGATTAGTCTAAAACAACTAAGAGTGGATGGTTCCCAGGAAAAAGCAAATGGACTTATCTGCTCTGAGAGGGAATTTACAACTACGCAATTAAATAAGAATATTATAGTTGAGTGAGCAGATCAGTTTCAAATGTCGCTGAGGGGCACAATCTCCTTTGTTCTAGCTATGGTTCTGATGGTCAATCTGATCGCGAGCTACAACGTTTTCAGTTTCACACACCAACGTGGGGGAGAAACATGGTCGAAGTGAAGAGTATCGCAAATTGTTGAGGAATTATTGATTACTTAATAAACAGTAAAATTAGCCATCCGTCTAGGAACCAGAAATCATAAAAATAGTAGCTTGTTATTGAGGGATAAACCAACATTAGATCCCCTTTATTCATTTCGTTCATTAGGTTTCGTTACTTCTAGACTAACATTTGAAAAGGGTGTAACTCCAAAATGTAAACAAGCCATATTTTGCCACACATAGAGAGAACAGTTCACAAACTACTCGATGAACACAAAAAAAAGTAGAAGAAAATATCATTTCAAATCATCGAAAACGTTTTCTCTTACATCGCGTATTTCCAACCTTCAACTCTATGATGCACCAGAACTACGAATTATATTGTTTTAATATGCCAAACATACTGATTCTGTGGTATCTAGTCACGCCCGATTCATTTGAAATGCATCCGATTGATATTTCACGTGTAAACAACGAACAAAAAGAAGACCAAAAAAATCTCCGGTCGTACACACACACTTAGATTTTTTGCCGAGATGGGCACCACCGAGCAGCTCGGCAATCTATTTTGCTGGATCTCAGTGAAAAATTTGCCGAGATTCAGTTAACAAACGGGACTTTTGTCGAAATATCGGCTAACAAACATACATTTTGCTGAGATCTCGGTGCCAATCTCGGCACAAAAAAAATCTAAGTGTGTAATTCCACTCTCACAAAATTTGCGAACGAAGAACCAAGGCGGAACAACAAACGAAAAATCCCGAGGCTGTACTTCCACGCCCAAGTAACAATTTCGGCTTTATAAGGGTTCTGTAGACCACGATTTAGACTTGTAGCATGCTTTAAAACCTCCATAAAACTTGCAATGTTACTTGGGCGGCGTATCACCAGTGTTGGCAGTTCAAAGGGTGGAAGATCCGGGGGGGGGGGGGGGGGGGTAACAACATGTAAGAAATTATCAGGGCGTATGAGGTTTTCTTCACGACAAAAAAACTTTTTTTTTTTAGTTTTTAGTGATGCATGATGATAGATTACACTATTAATTAGGGGAAATGGATGTAATGTCGGCCTAAATGCCCCTAATTTGGGCCCATACATAAATTCAGCAATCGACTAAATTTTCAATAAAAATATCCATTAGTCCCAACGCCGCGTTCATCTAGATAAAATTGACAAATAGCAGATTTTTAGCGATGGGCCTAATCTTAGATCCATAGGCCAACAAGTTTAGTCCCATCGCTAGAGCGATTTCCCCTATTTGTCAATCTTATAAAATCATCAAGAAAATAGAAAGTCGTGAAATAGGATTAATTTTTAGGTCATCAAAATTCGGAAGCGATTTTCTCGATATGGTCATTTTGGAGTTACACCCTTTTCAAATGTTAGTCTAGGCTTTTAGTTACCTGCTTTCGATCTTCCGGGATTGATTTTATTTTTATGGAGTCTCGACCTTAAGAAATCTACATCTGGGAAGACCTGTAATGAGCCTCCCACATAAATAGGTCCCTTAAGATCTTTAAATTCTTTTCGTTTCTAAAAAAAATCCTACGGCATAATTAGAGTGACCCTAGCATTTGGTATTCGTAATTGTTTAGTCAGTATACACCTTTCGTTGCAATTATTGGCTGTTCGTTGTTAAACGCTTCTTGCGTACCTGTTACTTGGTTAGTGACCTCCCCCCATTAAATCGCTGTCGTCACTAATCCCGAATTTCCGTTATCCCCGTACAAACCATATAGCGGCGCCAAGATGAGCTGGAGAAGAAGGCTCAGGAACTGGAACGCCGCGAAGCCGAACTGATGAACAGTGCCAACGCCAGCCGGCCGAACAATTGGCCTCCGTTGCCGTCGTTCTGTCCGGTGCAGCCATGCTTCTATCACGACATCAACATCGACATCCCGACCGAGTTCCAGAAGATTGTCCAGAATCTGTACTACCTGTGGATGTTCTACACGCTGGTTATGGTCGCCAACATCCTGGGCGGTTTGGTGATATTGATCCATTCCACAGATTTCCGCATCTTCGGGTTGGGCATCTTCTACGCGGTGCTGTTCACGCCGGCCTCGTTCCTGTGCTGGTAAGATTGTCCTACTGAAAATAAGCGGATGAGCTTTGTAAAGGCTAATTTTTCGTATGTGGTTGCTTTCCAGGTACCGCCCGGCTTACAAGGCGTTCAAGAGCGATTCCAGCTTCAACTTTATGATGTTCTTCTTCATCTTCTTCTTTCAAACGTTGGTCACCATCATCCAGACGATTGGTTTCCCTGGTTCGGGCACGTGCGGTGTCATCACGTCGATTAGTCTGTTTAGCGATGGTGGAATTGGCATTTTGGTGGGCATCTTTGTGCTGGCCATTGCTCTCGGTTACGGTTCGTGCGCTGCCGGCAACATTTTCATGTTGAGCAAGGTGAGACATGTTTACTGAAGGTCAATTGGTGGTCGTTTCATTGTGGCAACTTCGTTTCCAACAGATTCACGCAATCTACCGCAGCGGTTCCGAGACTAACCGAATCACGATGGACAAGGCTCGCCAGGAGTTCCAGTCCGGCTTTTTCGGTAATCAAATCGTGCGGGATGCAGCGGCCGGCGCCGCCCGGGCCACCGTGCAATCGCAGTTCAACCAGAACAGGTACTGAAATTCAATCCCAAATACAAAACAAGCAAACAAACACTACAAACCATACAAACTATTACTACTATTACTATTATATTTACGAAGCATTACCCACTTTCGAGTTTACTGTTTATTTATATTTAACAATTACTTACTGTCGCGTAGTTATGCCACAGCAGAACGGCTGAACCAATTTTCTACTATCCTTACTACTTTTACGATTGCTACTTGAACCCCGCTTCCTCTTACACACCAATTTCCTCAATTTTCGCTTCTCTAACTTATTTTTTTTTTTAGTTTTTGAGAAAATTGTCTGAACGAAAGTAGTTTTCCGTTTCTTGTTTTGCTCCGTGGTCTTTTTCCTACCCCTCATAAAAAAAGCTTTATGTTATAAATGGTCTGTTCCAATTTGAGATTCGATTTTTCATGTTTGAGTTTTTGAGTTAAATTTGACCGGTCGATGTGAATCATGATCGTCATTGAAACAATGAGAGACGTGTTAGTGTTTAGTCAGTAGTAGAAGATGACGCGCGAAAGTTAGGAGCAAGCATTCAAAAGTAAATTTAACAAAACCCTACCCCCTAAATGGTTTAAGCTAGTAACTAAAAGTAAAGCAAGCAAACAAACAAACAAGAACACACTTCAGTGATCATTTAAAATGATTGAACTTAACTACACTAAACTTACCTAGAGAGAGAGAGAGAGAGAGAGAGAGAGGGAACTTAGCGAGGCATAGTGACACTCCAATTAGCGGAAGAAATATGTGAAATTATAACTAGGTCTTTTAGGGGCGCGAGAGGTGGAATTGTGTTGAAGCGACAAGAAGGCGAAGAAACTCTGTTTGTTAATCATTGCTTATAATAATAATTAATAAAAAAAATATAAACATATCCAAAACGGATACCGGTTTTGGATCGTCCCTTTTTTCTTAGTTATTAGTCAAACAAAGGAATAACTCCCCTTCGGTGTGAGCGAATAGTAAAATGTACGAGAACAAATCATTAAATACTAAATTTATATTAAATTATACTACAAAATAATAACAAACAGTGTAACCATCATAGAGTAACCATTTCGTCGTTTTTTGTTCCCTTAGTTTAGAATGAAAGTCTCTTTTCGATTGATTGTATGAGTCAGGCACTTGGTCCGACTCACCATTCGAGACAGTTTCTTAACAATTTTCTAAAAAAGTACAACTCGACCGAGGCACTCCTACTTAAGCTTGCAAGACCGGACGGAAGCGGCCTGGTCCGTTTTTTCTCCCGGCTCCGGCTGATTAAATTTAAATTAAAAATAAACTTGTGATGTCCTCCCGTTTCCGATTGACTGGTGAAATTGATTCCATTTATTTTTGCTGTTTGAACAAGGATGGTTTTTTCTTCGTCTACCGTATGCGTTTCTTTAGGTACAGAGTTTTTATTTTCGGCAACGAAACGCGAAGTATTTTATTTGGCAGAACGGCACGATTTAATGAATGTAACAGAAATACAATAAACGTCAAGAAAGTCTATTTAATATGAATTCATATGATTTGGGTTTTATTTCCGGTTATCACATTCATTTCTTTGGATATAGTTTTCACTATCTATTCCCCTCTCTTTTTTAAATCTCGTTCAGCAGTTGTTTTGAGTAGGTTACATTTTAGGTCGGGTTAGTTTCCGTTTGTTTGAATCCCCACTTTTATTCTAAGCAGAGCATGATTGAACAGTTTCACATTACAGTTATTGAGAATGTACATATTTTAGTGAGCATTAGTTATTTATCTTGTTTGAACCAGTTTTATGTATGTATATGGACCATACTTCGCCCACATTCCAAGGTATTTCGATGTTCTTCAAAATAAGTATCTAGGGCAGGGTGGCCGGAAAAACCGGGAAAACTAAATAAAGTTTACCATACGAACAATTTTTTAGGTTAGAATTTCAAAATAATCAAATGAAACAGACCGGGTCCTTATCAAAAGAATGACCCTGCTCTATTTGCTGCATAATTTCCATCAGTTTCCCGTCTTATTTAGCCTCCAGCCGTCTCTGTCCTGTGTTTGGATTTGAAGAAGGGGTCTTCCAAAACCCTATCTCGAGCAAGTAAGACATTATTTCGAACAATCCACTTCCTGAAATGTATTATGCCTACAGCCGATCATTTCCGATAAAAGCACAACCTGATTTATTCAACTCGACACTTGGCCGCACACTTGCAACTAGCCTTGTGGAAGCCCCTGATCCTATCATCGCAGTCGAGCCTATGCTGCCAGCGTTCAACAGTCGTTCCAGCCCTGCGTTTGAGTTAGGAGAGGGGGTCTTCCAAACTCCAACTGTAGGCAAGTACAATCAGCAAGCAACAACTGCTCTGTCTGAAAAATTCTTGGTATCCAGAGTGCCATTGTATATGTCTGCTCCTCGACAATTGTGGTCTGAACATGACATTAACAGTATACCAGCCCCACCATACCAGAAGCCGAGACGGTCCACAGAAAATTCACCGGAAGAAGCATCCAGATCCTCTGATCTAGTCCTGCCGAAGATTGACGACGTACACCATTATGATGAATCAACTTCTGTTTGTTTACTGGGACGCACTGTCGTTGGCATCATGGAAGCCCCCGAGTCCCCCGCCACAGTCGAGCCATTCCCGCCAGCGGCCTGCAGCCGTCCCGGCCCTGTGTGCGGGCCTGGTGAAGGGGTCTTCCAACCACTCGTTTACGGCAAGTATGAACTCGTCCATGTGAATTCAACTGTTGATCTGCCGCTTGGTTTCAGTTCATCTTCGCTTATGGTCACCACTTCGAGCCTTTCTACGCCAGGTGATCTTTCGCTGCATGATAGTTCACCGTTCTCTCGTTCGGATCCTGGACAAGTTACCATTGACACGGCTCGCACCGAACCCTCTAGTGGTTTACGAGTCTACTATCAGAACACCAGGGGGCTCATGACTAAATTGGACGATGTTTATCTGGCTGCGCCTGACGGGGAATATGACGTTTATGTATTCACGGAAACTTGGCTAGATGGGAGGATCAATTCAGTGCAACTGTTTGGTGAGTCTTTTACTGTCTACAGATTAGACCGTAATTCATCCAACAGCATTCGTACTCGCGGTGGTGGTGTCCTCATCGCTGTTTCCAAAGTATTCGCCTTCTGCGTAATCGCCGACGAACTATTTACTACAATTGAAGCGGTTTGGGTTAAGGTCAGCCTCACTTCGCAGAACATCCTTATTGGAGTGGTGTATATTCCCCCTGAACGTCGACATGACTGCAGCACAATGCAGCTTCATCTAGATGCTACAGAATTTGCACCGTCCATGGCTGATTTGTTAGCGAAAGTGCACTTCTGGACTGTGTCGTCGCTGAAGCGCCTGACGTCATCGTTCCTCTTGACAATTTCCACCCTGCTTTGGATATATCTATCGCGAACGGATCGCAAATTCGTTTTTATGAAACCATGACTGCCACTCGGCTCAATTTCCGGAAGACCGATTTCCGTTTGCTGAGGCGTTCCTTGTCCCGGATCAACTGGAACGCGTTGAATTACCTTGATATCGATACAGCAGTCGCACGCTATAATAGCCTTTTGCGCGACTGTGTTTGTGCCAGTACCAAAGTGCCTACCTCCAAGAAAACCGCCTTGGTCTAACGCTACTCTCCGCAACCTGAAACGAGTGCGATCTAGAGCTCTCCGTGCTCTCACTCATCGACGATGTACCCTTACCAAACGAAATTTTTCAATTGCCAGCAATGATTATCGCCACTACAACAAGCTTCTTTGCAAGAGGTATGTAATTCGTACTCAACATAATCTGCAATGTCACCCCAAGGGATTCTGGTCGATTGTGAATACGAAGAGGAAGAAAAGTGGGCTGTCGTCAAAAATGTTTTTTGGCAATGACGTAGCATTGACAACTGAGGACAAATGCAGCCTATTTGCTAGGTACTTCTTAGGCTGTGAACCATTTGCCGAGTTAAATTTAACTCGTGGTTAAAAGTGACATTTCGAAAGTTATTTCTTATGTTCGAAAATCCACGTGCTGTCAATCGACCGGTTTTCGAGCCATGGTCGTCAAAATTTAACTTCTTGTCTGTCAAGAATAACCATGCTCGGATAGCAGGGTTAATCGATAACTTTTCATCTGTCAAATTTTAACCAAAAGTTAAAAAAAAATTCGCCAAATGGTTCAGATCCTTAAGCGTCTTCTCGAATGACTCCCCATCGTAAGCAGAAATTGAGCGAGCCGTCCGTGATGTGCCAACCGACGTCGTAAACATGGATGTTTTTGCCGTAGATGTACAAATGGTTCTCTCTGTGATGAGTAAAATCAAATCATCATTTTCACCAGGTCCGAGTGTTATTCCATCTGCTGTCCTAGAAAAATGCTCCGATATCTTAGTTGCTCCGTTGTCCTTGCTCTTCAACCTGTCACTTCGTCAACAGAAATTTCCCGCACTATGGAAACGCTCTACTATGTTCCCTGTTTTTAAGAAAGGAGACAAACGCAATGTGGAAAACTACCGTGGGATTACCTCGCTTGGGTTGAATCTAATAGCGAATTCGTTTATTATTCAGTTCCAACCTGGATCGGGTATCAAGATTGGGTCTGCTTGTTTTCTGACAAACGTCAGTTTGCTCGTTTGTTTTTAAAACCTAGCTCAAGTTGAGGTTCGCACTGACAAAAAGTTCGGTTTCGCACTGGGTTGGAACTGGTTCTAACCCCGATAATAAACGAATTCGCTATAAGTTGTTTGAGTCGCTGATAAATGAGAGATTGTTTGCTTCCTGCAAGCATTACATAAGTACATGTCAACATGGTTTCTTTCCTGGCCGCTCCGTGGAAACTATTCTCGTCAGCTTTACGTCGTTCTGTATGGAAAATGTATGCAAGAAACTTCAAGTGGATGCCATCTACACTGATCTCAAAGCTGCGTTTGATAGAGTTGTGCACGACGTTCTGCATTAAAGCTTGAAAAAATTGGATGTTCTGTTTCCTTCGGTAGCTGGCTGGCAACGTGAAGTTACTGT